ACCATTTATTTATTTTAAAACACTAATAACAGTGCTTTTAATACTCAACATTGTTTTAATACAAAGTATTATTAGTGCTTTTAATTTCAAAATAAGTAATTTATCACTAACCGACTTACAGTATTAAATTTCTCTAAGAGTAATCTTATCCTCCACATAATACCTCACATTCTTCCCCGAGTTTCCATGTTAGGCATTTCTCTTCAATGAAAATGCAAAAAAATCTGACGATCCGATCGCAGCACACATTTCTCTTTTCATGAGAAAAGTAGATAAAAAAATGATTCATAATATCATGCATCTGTCTCTCTCTCCCGAAATTTATGATCAAAGTTAATCGCACCAGACGGTTTTGTCTTCGACCGCGAAACGAAGCCAGGTGCATTCAACAACTGCGTTGTAAAACTAATTGTACGGCGCTGTCGTAGTTCTACTTTCTTTGCCGATAGCACTTTTGGGAATTTAATTGTAATGTATCCTGCAGTTTCTAATTCATCGTTCTAACGTTTTACGTGCTAATCGACGCGCCGATTAGTAAACCGTAAAAATTACTCAACTTCTTGTCCGACGTGAAAGCACGTTTTTCGACTAAAACTGTTTGCACACTAAAATTTCTCATAGGGCAACTTTGCTTAGTTATGGAGAGGGTGTGTTTTTGCAGAATTGATTAGAAAACAAATTTGATAATTTAGAAGAATGTGGCACAATAAAAAAATAAGATTTTGAAAGATACAAAATGTTCTGAAAGAAGTAATTGAAAAATAAAAACGATAAATATTTATTACTAAAATTTTCAAATTTCTTACATAAATCTTTTAGATTTTTTTACATAAATCTGATAAACCATATTTGATTTTCGTCAACTTTAGATTTCGTGCATACATTTAGACTAAATTATACGTGAATATCAATATTGTATAGATTGAACATTAATTGGCAATTGATACTCAAAGAGTATGAATTTTAGATAATATTTGAAGGATAACGCAAGAAAGTTTCGCTATCGTTAACTTAAAAGTAATTATTTGCAATTCTAAAGTGTTTTAATGTCCTCGATTTGGATAAAAGCAACGGTGCGTTACCACTCTTTCGACACACTGCAGTCGGAGAGATCTTAGCCTTGACTAGAGTAAAATATCTTCGAAGCTTTGCACAGACGTATTGTGTCACACACATGAAATCATTCGTTAATCTTTCGTGTAAACGCGAAATGTATTTCTTTCTCCATTTTCTGCATGACGATTATTATTAATCTTGGTGGAAACTAACGATGTTGAAGAACTTAATTAAGTACAATTACTTTATCGTCTCTTCATCTTAGGTCTAACAAGGCAATAAAAATCTTAAGAATTCTATTATGACTAACGAACTCAAAGAAAGTACGCATTTAAGTATTGAAGTATCTATTTAAAATTTTTTTTCATATTAATATTGAACTCTTAAAGATTTTATATAATTGAAAACTATTAATTTTCTGATAGAATGTACATATTGACAGTAAACTAAGATAAATTCTTTTTATCAAAGATATTTAATGATAGGTAAATCTTGATCAATTTGTTGTGACATTTAAGTTATTATAAAGTTGTAATTTTTATTTCTTACTGCTTTTACTATGTATTGGCAATCCGTCATTTGACAAATCTTTGACATATATCGTAACAATATATGACATAAATGTCTTTTGCCTTGAATACTTTAAGAAATAACTATGTTTTAACGTACGTGATTTTTTATTTAAGAATTAGCAAATAAAAGAATGTAATTATAATATTTTATATGAAAAACGTTTTAATTTATTAGTTTAAAATAATTATAAAGAAATGAATAATCTGTCTTAAAGAGATATAAAACGTTAGCAATAATTCAAGAATCAATAATCATAGGACACGTTCTAACAAAATTAAAAAAAAAAAGAAAAAAGTAAAAACAGCGAAAGTTTAAAGATAGCTAAACTAAAATGTATGCCGATTTATTACAGATTGAAATAGTAGAGATTAATCATTTTCCAATGTGTGACAATATACATGCTAAGTTCTGATTCTTGCGGAACAAATTGATATTCACTATGCGTCTTCGGCTAGTAAGGCAATTTACATTATGCGATTTTCTTGTAATCGTTGAGGTCGATTGTTCCTAATTTTAAGCGGAAACTGTGTTATCATCGTGAAGCACACGTTTTTGAGTAGAAAAAAAATCGGAAATTTGCCAATATCCGTTAGAATAAGTAATATTGACGCTTGTTACATAGCATGTATATTGTCACACATTGGAAAATGATTAATCTCGGACTATTTCGATCTGTCAATATTAAATCGGCATACATTTTAGTTTAGTTATTTTTAAACTTTTGCCGTTTCACTATTTTTCGTTTATTTCATGATGTATAATTATTAACCGTTACATGAATAATGAATGATTCCTGCAGTCTGATATGCTGTATCATTTATTGGTATTCAATAGGGACGATAACTATTAACTGAATAATTATACTGTTAATTGAAGAATTAAATTCGTATCAGTATTATTTTACTAGTATTTTCGATACTTTATATGTTCGGACTTTGCACTTCGGACTTAGATCATAAAAATTAAATACAAAAACGATATCAATATTATTCTTATATTTTCAAGTCTAACTAATCAAATTCAGAATTACACGAGTTTGGAGTCATTTGTTTGGAGACATTGATTGAACTATTCATAAGTTTACGCGCTCTTGATGTCGCTTTGAAAGAGCAGGATCCATTTTCCTCGGATACACGAAATCACGCCATGTTTGTTAAGAAACTGGCTCGAAAATCCAGCGACCTTGTGCCAAATATTACAACGTGTTTCGAACGGTTGTGTAATGTGACTCATTTCACGTGCTTGAACATATACGTGGGGATTATGTTAAGGTAGGTAGTTGATGAGAGAATTGAATGCATGAATAGATAGCCGATATAATTTCTGTCAAGTGTGTGAAGTTTCTATCTAAAAATTTCTCTCTCTCTCTCTCTCTCTCTCTCTCTCTCTCTCTCTCTTTCTCTATTTCTCTCTTTTCAATTATGTCTGCTGAAATACATGTCGATATTAACGGTAAAATTAGAATTAATTTGAATTGAGGCAATGACAATGTTTCTATAATAATTGTACGGATGTGCCTTGTGGCAAAATGTCTCGATTGTGTAACGCAGGTGAATCGCTATTTACAAATTCTCAAAAATTCATATATCCGAACATATATCCGAATGTTATACAGACTAACAAACTACGCGATTTGCTACACATTAATAATTTTTAATTATTTTATATTTTTTAAAATACATCTTTTAAAGTTAAAAAATTTTTAGTAGCTTTAAGTCTTTAATACACATATAAAATTAATTTAAAAAAATGTTGTGTATAAAAATTTAATAACATTACGCATAAATTAATTAAATTTAATTTACTTGCTCAAGAAGTTTAACAATACTTTATTTTTTTATATTTGTAAAAATTTCTTATAAAAATTGTTAAAAATATTCTGGAAATTATGATTACATCTTTCTTATTGCAAAATATCACACTATACGAAATATTACAATACGATAAATATTACATAATTAAAAATTTCACAAGATGCAGTCAAAAATTCACTTTCAACAGAGCAATAAATGTTATGGCAGTTCGAAGATTAATGTCAAAATACTAATGTAACTTTCTCAAAAATCTTATTAAAGTGTAAAAATATGTTATTAAAATATACTTTATTTTGGAAAAATTTATTTATTCTACTTTAGTGATAGTTTCAAACAAGACACGATATAAACAGTATAAATACTAAATTATTTTCGCGAAAATTTTTTGCTAATAGAAATTTACTAATAAAATAATTTTAATTTCATATGAAATAAATTATTTTGCGCATGAAATAACATAAGTGATAATAATAGTTTGTGTTGAGTACACGTATATATATATATATATACGTACACGCTCCAGCACACACACACACACACACACACACACACACACACACACACACGCACGCACGCACGCACGCACGCACGCACGCACGCATATATTAGATTGGAACAAGAATTTGTTGCCCTACTTTATTTATATCATATCTACATGCTTTAAAAAAAATTTGTAATTATATATATATATATATATAAACATATCTAGAAAAATATAGAATATTTAAAAATTATTAATAGATATATTAATTATATAATATGCATTAATGATTAAGTATCAATAAACTTTTAATAAATCAATATTACACGTAATTTTTAATTTTAATATACACATGTTTTAATATATACCTTTTGAAAAAAAGGAACAATTTTAATTGCAAAAAATTTTTTCAAAAAAATTATTTCAAAATCAGGAAGCTATTAATAAAATTTAAATTTAAATTAAGAATGTAGATATGTATGTATAAATTTTGAGGCTAGGCTTAAAAATGTCGTGTTTGTTGTATATTAATAAGCTTAATTAATGCAAAAATGCAAGTTACATCGATTTCTTTCTTTATGGATATTCCATTATGAACAAATTTTAGAGGTAATTTTTTTAACATTGTAGGACACGCTAGCGTACTACTTCAAGTTTTTGATATATGGGTACTCAAAAGGGATTAACTTGCACCACACGGATAGTAAAATATTTTCATTATTTGAAAAAAACATAAAATAAAAAAAATATGTACTTTTTTCTAATAAAAAAATTCGTCTGTACATTTCTTTAAGCATATAGAGTAGTCTTGCATCAATTATTATTCTGTTGAGCTGTTCTCATCTTTGTCTCCAAAATGTAATCTTTCTTGAAAGGTTGATACGATTAAAAGTTACGATTATGAGTTTCGCGCACATGTGATTTTTTATAGCGTTTTTACGGCTCGCACACGAATCCGTTTAAAGAGTCGGCCCGATTTCTCACCGTGGAAATTCATTTTGGGTCACTCTCCAGTGACTATTTGCGCTCGGTTAAACGTTCCGCTCTCCACCCCAAAGTTTTCGAAATACGCTTACCTTCCACTCACGCTCCACCGAAATCAGAAAAAAGCCGGCACTGTGCACTTCACCACTCTTGCTCCTAGTTACGTCGTCACCGAAACCACCGATCCCTGCTCGATTCAGTGGCGCTGCATCAAACCGAGCTACCCATCAAAGATTTGAATTATCCGAAATTCCGTCCACTTGACTCTTTGCACTGTATTTCTCTATACCAGCGTCCAATGCTGGACGCTGTCGTTGATCGATAAGTGAACACAATGGGATTCGGAAACACCGATCACGAGGAAATTCCTCTTCTTCCGGGAGACGAAGGGTTACAAAGACTTCAAGGGAGGCTCTCGTCACTGTGCACGCGGTCCTTCTCTCGCGGGGTCAGGATCAGCGAGGCACACTTGCGTGTGAGTGCTACATATGTCCCCGCGATATCGCATATGCGTTCACGTAAGTCGTATACACCAAATATTAAAATAAGTTACGTAGACGATAGATATCCCGCACGTATCCGATATATACCACGCGTGTGTACGCGCGTGCGATCAGGGCGTACGTACGTGAGCTTACGGGTCCAACGGCCGATGCTACAAGAATAATCCGCGGCGCGGTAGGCCCGCGGTTTAAGTATTGGCTAACCCAAGTGGGGTCCAAGCACGCGCGTGAGAGGGGCTGCAGCACTGGGTCTTAGGTGATCGTCTGCGAATCCCGCGCCGCGCTCAGTCAAGGTCGCTCAGGTGGCCGTCCAAGGGGAAGTGAAAAGGTATCTTCTCGACGGTGACAGACCACGGGCGTAAGATCCTTCGGCCAAGGTCACGTGCCGTTTGAAACTTTGCTGTGCTTCCGGTGAAGATCGAGGATGTCGAGAAGATACCGGCACGCCGGTATTGCAACTTCTTTCACACACACATTTTTGGTAATTGTCTCTTTCATATGACCTCATATTTTCCTTTACACATATTATGTATGGATGATCACACTTTTATGGTTTTCAATGAAATAAAAAAACGTTACGTGCAACAAATGTGGATGCATCTAATAAATTTTATTTTCTCGTTAAAGAAAGAATGGCTTTGCTAAAGGAATTTAAAAATTAAGTATTTAGAAATTAATAAATTAAAATTGATACAAATCTGAAAAGAATTTTGTTGAGCTATTAAAATAACTATGTAGGACACTCAAACTGATTGTTAGAATATAAAAATTTTTTGCAACATTATTTGTCATGCATGAATTTCCTACAGAATTATTTTGATAAACTAACAAAATTATTTTTAGATCTGTGTATTTAGATTTTTAGATACTGTAACATTACTTTTTTCATCTTGCAAATTGGCATTATGTGAATATTGTGGTCTATGGTTTATTTTAATTAAATTACAAAAAAAAATTGCCAAATTTTGCCAAACGTTGGCATTCCAAGAATGGATCTGGACATAAAGAGTTTTGTTACATTTGTATTATTTCGCGCAATAATTACCGCGCCTGACTCCTATTTGTCTTTTTTTCATTTAATTTCTGTCAGTAAGAAGTCCTTGTGAATTAACTTATGTTTTATCAAAAAGAAAATTAATCCCGCAAATACAATAGGTATAATAAGCCTTAATATAATTCACGATTGAGATTGTCACTTCAATTTTATGAGGATTGCCCTTCAAAGATGATGATTGAAGACAAGCAGCAACTATAATATTTTTACATAGCGGTCAGTTTTCTCAGTATAACTACATATTAATATAATATGATTGGCTTTAAAAATAGCCTCTCTCTTTTAATCAAACCCCTTCTTATCTTTTTTAAAAAATCGATAATATTATTAAGAGTCAAATCTAAACTAATTTTAGTCTCCATATTTCTAATTACATTCAATTAAATAAATTAGTTTCAATATATCACAAAATCAATCGGATCAACATTCAAATGCTTTATCCTTAGAGCGACCATTTTGAATGATTTCAGTATCATCTATGATTCGGTTTCCACTCGCTAATTGTTGATTTGAGTGTCAACCATACGTAATAAAAGATTTTATTATCTATTATTCTACATGAACATATTAAATTTCATTGATGATGAAAACCGTCAGTCTGTTCACGAAAATCTCCGTATCGTGTATAGGAATATATTCATATTATCGCATGATCTTCGCAAATATCATCATTGGTATTGTGTTGGCATCGCTAAATGTTGCAACTTGATTGCTCTCGGCATAATAATTTTCGAGTGATCCGCTACTTTTGAAAATGAAGGAAGGTTTCTAGTTGAAAGGCCCTTTTACAATTACATTAAAGATACAATTAAACAGTTCGTCGCATTGATTAGTCATTTGTCGGAGTCCAATATTATTTTTTTGTATGCCCACGCGGCATACATCGTGATGAAAAATTTCATCGGTTCGTTCAAATTGTATGGCGAGATGAGATCGTTCTTCCATATAATTTTCAAAATTCATATATTCAAGTTTCACAATCGTTAAAGCGTGAGATGATATTCTGGTTATGAAGATTGAATAGTCATAGTCAGCTTTATCATTCACCAATGGTCTCAACAGCTTAAGAATATCTAGGTGCTACTTCCGTCCAAGCGCATACCATGCATGTATATGCATGAAATTCATGCTACACGCGGCGGTCAGATCTAAGGTGTGCAATATGTCGGAAACACATCATGCGAAATTGGCCTAGTCTTTCTTGATTAGACTAATCCAAGTAAGTATGATCCATGTCATATTGAATGTACTTGACTCCTGCTTTAATTGTATTGCAATCAATGAGTAATAGACGTGCTGTTGCGCTGCTGATATGATGAGTACCATTGTTAGTTTAATATTTTTTACAGACGGTCGGTATGTTGGGTTTTCCATGGATTTTGCCGATATAATGGCATCTAAAAGACTCTAATGACTGATTGCACTATATGACGAAATTGAAATCCGTTGAATTTCGCATAGAGTCCGTTATGTGCAAGTAAGGCGTCTTAATACGGAGGAGATTGCGCCAGGTGACCCCAAGTTGCCCGCAAATAACAAAGAATGATAATGGGTGGGATGGGGATGGCGTAGGTTCCTATCTTTATCAGTAACGTAATAAAGAATGTATCAATATCAATGGGGGTTTCGATAGCACACATCGCTAATTGGCCAATTTAAAGTAAAATATTTTTGTTGATAAAACAATAAAAAGTTACTAGGCACTTCGCATTGCGTGCTAACGGGATCCTCCTATATCAAAATAAAGTAGAGAAAGAAAGACAGAGAGAGAGAGAGAGAGAGAGAAAGAGAGAAAGAGAGAGATATATATATATATATATATATACTCCAATATCATACAAACTCCAGCTTTTTTTATTAATAAAAATTTCGAAATGCGAATAGTTTTCAACAAATCATTGAAGATAAATTGGTTCTTTTTTTTTTGAAAATTATATTTTAGAAAAAAAATAAATAATTGTAGAATTAATTTGATTGATAAGATAGTATAAAAAGATTATTAAAGATATTTTTTCAAAAATATTTGTGAAATTGTTTAAATAATGATATTACGATATAATGTTTTCTATATTTTCTGTAAACAAACATTGACTTCAAAGGAAATATAAAAAGTAATGCTGTTTATCTTCTTTCTATTAATCGTCTAGTACTTTGGACAGTATTATTATAAATAATTTTATACCAATAAATAATTATATATCATCTGATATTAACAAGAAATCCAGTAATTATTAAAGAAACAGGAATGTAATGAATAGGATATAAAAATGAAGAAATAATATAAAGCAGTAATTACGTCTAAATAATGTATAACAATTAATATTGATGCATAATGGAAAAGACCGAAACCAAAGATCATATCTTAAGAATGCATATCGGCACATGCAGAAATTAATATTCTCATTCATTTTAACTTTTTATATCTAAACTATCATCTCAGATCTATATAATATGTATAAAGTGGAGGAAACTTTGACAGAAGTTGCTGATGAGCTTTTTTCCTCGAGAGTGCATTTTTCCATTCGGATTTCGCAAGAATAGTATTTTTTGCGTTTTATTTAGATGTACAAGTTTACTTTTTGTTTAATTTGTTATTAATAAAAATGATATTGCGTTAACAAGCAAATCTTCGGCATTTAAGCATAATCTTCATAATGCATAAAATAGTACCTACAGTTTCCTGTAAAATGCAATCAAGTGTATTTCGAGGGAACGAAAAGTTTACATGGAAAGAGATTTATCAACTAAAAAAAATTTATCATTAAAAATAAATGATGCGTACAGATTGCATATTGTGTTCTTTATAATTGCCTGTACTTATGGACTTTATAGTTAAATATCAAATGAAAGTTCAGTTAATATTTAATAATTTTGAGATACTTTGGAAACTCTCTTTCTCTATATCACTATTCTCAAGCGTTATAAATTACATTTGGTAGACTGAAGCAGTTGATATCGAAGATTTAATTTTATTGACAAACTTTGACTTTTTACTATTTTGTCCCTTTTAAAAGTTAAAAGATACGAAGACTAAAAAAAATGAACATTTATCGCGTAGATGCATTTTAAAACCGAGATTAAGAGGATTTCTTTTTTGCTGTTAACAGCATTATTATGTGTAAGAATACAAGATTTACTATTAGTCCTTGGATTTCGGTTTAAAATTCATTTGTTCATCTGCTACTTTTAAATTTTTGATTCGTTAAAAATTCGTATAGTGATGTGTAAAAGTAAAGCACGTTTACTTTTGTCTCTTGATGTTGTAAGAAGTTATATAATTTTAGCAAAGTATAATTGACGTAATGATGAATCAGTCGACATAATTCGTTAACATATTGAATCCGACCTCGAACTAGTCTTACTTTCACGTAAAAATTTTAATTGAATGTAATACTAAAATTATTAATGTTTTTCGATGCAATATAGACAATAAATTATATATATAACAAATAAGAATTTTTCATAAATAACTGTCAGTTTCTAATGTAAAGGTTTTTTTCAGATGTCATAAATGTCTAAAAGATTTTATGGAGAATTTGTAAGAAATGTTTTATATAACTTCTGTAATATTTTTTAAATGCTTCTTGCATATCTTCTAGATTCTTGCTTTGTTTAAATTTAAGTTTTGCTTCTTTGACGTTAAATGCCAAGAAAATATAAGTCTAACGTCATAGTTTGAACTCATTGTTTTGTTGACTATTGCGCCGATTATTTAATTATATAAATTATTAAAAGATATCGATGAAATACGTAAAAAAAAGAAAAACTTGTTTATTGCTTTTTACGTTTATACGAATTAAACACCAGTGTTTATTACATTGTAGTAAATTTATCTTCTTCAGATAAAAAATGAGTTAAAAAGAAAGTTATAAAATGTTTAATAAACATTAGTAATTTTTCTATGTGTATTCATTAGCTCTATGTTAAATATTGCCAAATCAAATTAAATATTTCTTAAACTTTTTGGTTTGATAGAATATAGCACTTTCAACTCATTCGTATTATAAAATATATTTTTACATTATATATATATATATATATATCAACTTTTTAAATATTATACCAAAGATGGCATTCTCCATTATTTGCTTTGTTCTTAGCTAATTGCAGAACGTAATTGCAGAATGTTCTTTACTTGTTTCTCATTTCTATTGTACGCAATTAAGCACTTGATGCAATCTTGAATCGGGCGAATGATCAGGAAGTTAGTGCAAATTAGACAAGTAACGATTTCAACATACAATGTTTCGATGAACAAAGAAACTATTATCAGCATGTGTGGACATTCTTAAATGTGTGTTAACACTTAAGAAATTATATTGTTTTTATAATACAATAATGTATTTTTATAACACAATATAATGCATATGATTATCATATTAATCGATTATCGTAAATATCATACAGGGTGGGCCATCTATTGGTACGTTTTTAAAAATGCGATCAAATGAGCAT